TTGGCTTATAGTGAACTCTGCTCCATGGGAAAAGGAAGTGAGCACAAGTCTCTTGTGTTCCCAATGAGCCGGGTTAGAGGCGCAGTCTGGGGTCTACTTACCTTGCACCCTGGTAAAGATCTCAGCTCAGGTAGCACTGAGAACAAGTGCATCCTCTTCCTCTTCCTCTTCTTCTTGAAGTAATATGGCTTCTTCAGGATACTCTGGTGTATAGAAGGCACAGGGCTTAGCCATCCTGATGTTTCCTGCAGCTCCTTGTGGAACCCAGACAGATACATACCCCTCTTCCTCCATTGGCCAGGGCATTGACATGGGTGCCTTAGTTCTTCTCTTGGGGAGAAGTGAAAGCAGCTGGCCAGAGCCCCTCCTGGTTCACCTTAGACTTCAATGACAGTCTCTCCCAGTTGTGGCCTGAAAACAAAAGTGAAAGGCTGGGCTCCTAGCTCAGAGATGACTGAGTACCTCACCTCCTGCTCCTCTGCCTGCTCCTGCTCTGCCTCAGATTCTGATTCTGAGGAGGATCTATCTTGTTCCTGCTGAACCAGAAAATAGGCTGCTAACCCAGGGACTCTATCAAAGAGACCCAACAGCTCCTCTTGCATCTCCCCCTCAGACTCTGAGGGCTCATCTGTCTTTTGTTTGGAACACGGGCCTGAGATGGGAGGCTGGGTGCTACTCACAGGCCTGAGGATAGAACCCAGGTCCAGTGCGAAGCGTCCTTTTGGAATTCTGCCTTTGAGCATCTCAATCCAAATCTCTCCTTCCAAATAAACTTCAAACTTCTTCCACTCTTGTCACCTCCAAAGCCACTACCTCATCCTTAATCTTTGCTAATCTCCATATGCCCCCAGTTCTCCGTGCCACTGTCTTCTCATCCTGCGGCTACAAACTTTCTCTCATAGATACTTGCTTTCATGGTGGAGGCACTTCTACTTGAGGCACCTCTTCCCCTATCCATTCTGGAATCACATCCCCTAACCTTTTCCCTGCTCTGACCATTCTTGCGCTGGCTCCTATCTGTTCTTTCTTCTGTCTCTTCTGTCCTAAGGCCCTCTTGCCTCGTTATGTAGCCCCTTCTGCTTACCTGTCAGCTTCACGATGTCGGGGGAGAAAGGAGCCCTTCCTCGTGTTGGTGGGAATGTGAACTCATACACCCAGTATGGAAATCAGTAAGGAGATTCTTCAAAAATTAAAACTAGAAATGCCATTTTGCCCAGATATTTCCCTTCTAGATATCTTCCCAAAGGTGTTAAAAACCTCATATTATAGGGATATGTGCACAATTCATGTGCACATGTTTATAGCAGCAAAATTCATGATAGCTAAGTCTTGGACGAAGCCTAGGTGTTCAAAACCAGATGAACAGATAAAGCAAATGTGGTGTTTGCGTACAGTGGAGTAGCACTCTGCCACAGAGGAAAAACTTGAGACATCCATAGCTAAGTGGGTGTACTAAGTGAAATAAGTCACACAAAAAAGCATAAAAATCACATACTCTGTCTTGTATGAGAAGCCCAAATTATAAAGTGCAAAATGAAAGACTGACAATGGGAAAAAGAGAAAATGTTACTGTAATCTAGCATAGACCATGTATCTAAAAATGTAGATATCTAGCTAGGGTATCTCAAAAGACCTTGATTTAGAATAATTATTCTATGTGCTTTCTGTGTTTTTTGATCTGTTAGTCTGGCTGTTACTCTGTGTTCATGATAACTAACTTAATAAAGACATAATAATAAATAAATGTGATGTTAGCGTGAAAAAAAAAAAAAAAGCCTAAATCAAACAAAAAACATGTCAGTTCTGTCTTACTCCAGTTGGTGTAGCTATCTCTGAAAATACACAAATACAATAAATGCTGGCAAGGATATGAGGAAAAGAAGGAAATCTCCACTGGGGGTAGGAACGTGAAGTACAGCCACTAGGGGAATCAGTGGGAACATTCCTCACAGAAGTGAAAGTAAGGCGACCATTTGCTCAAATTATAGCACTACTTGGCACATTCTCAAAGGAATTAAAGCCACCATTCCATAGGGACACCTGCCCGCCATGTTTATTGTGGCACAGTCCTCCATAGTGAGATGCTGAACAAGCGTAGGTGTCTATCAACAGATGAATGAATACAGAAAATGTGAAATATATGTAAACACACACACACACACACACACACACACACACACACACACATACTCACGCACAGACAATGGAGTATTAGCATCTATAAAGAACTAAACTTTGATACTGGAAAAAAAAAGGAAAGAACAGAACGAACTGAACATGAAAAGGATGAGTGAAATAAGCCAGACTCAGAAAGAGTAATGTTACCTGTTCACCCTGATAGGAGAAATCTGAAAAAGATGAAATGAAAATGTGGGGAGACTGATACCGTACAAGAGAAAGAAAAGAAGGGGGAGAGGTATGGGGCAGTGAGAAAGGGCAATAGGAGGAAAAGTGCATTTACACATTCACTAATCACAAAAATGGCCTACCGGCATGGATTCTCATTCACTGACTCTGAGCTTAGGCCTGACTTCCGTTTCTCACTGACACCCATTCAGATTCAAATTCTTTGAGGGAAGGGTGCAGCAGGGAGCCCAGTGGAAGCCAAAGCCCCATTGAAGTACAGAAGCAAGAAAGATGTTGGAGGGTGGTGCAGGTGGTGAGGTGGTGAGGTGTGACATGCCAGGTGTGTGGCAGGCCCCGAGTGCCTGGTTGAGGGGACCCTGGCAACCATGCTCCAGTGCTGCTGGCCAGCGACAGCTTCTCCCGCAGCCTTGGTTCACAGAAACCTGAGAGAGAAGCTCAGCCCTCCAGTGTCCACTGCCAAGTGGCCCTCTTTGAGCCCTGAGGATGATTTCTGCTTCTGTCACTCACAAACCGTGGGATCACGCAGGAGAAGAGGAGAACGAATGCTGG